TCCTGCTGATTAAAATAGGTGAAAAGGTTGTAAATCCTTAAATGATTTGTCTGACTACATAATGAAAATAATCACTTAGTCATGTCTTAAATACTTCTTTTTTTTTTCATTTGTTTACCATTTAACAGAAGAGTAGCTCAGTGCTTCGTTTTCTCTGCAATATGATAGTATGAGCTTGCTAGCCTGTTCTGCAGCTCTGTTCCAGCTGGAATGGCAAGGATGAAATAAAGACATTTCACGAGAACCTTCTGCATCCAACGATAATTAATTTAGTGTGGGATTTGTCCCATCGTTTGTTTAATCTGGTTTCCTAACTATGAGGGTGGCCGTCGCCAAATGTTTCAAAGGATGTGTAAAACTCCGTGATAGGCAAAGACCAGACGGTCTGCTCTTGCCACAGCTCTGCTACTCGAGGTAGAAAGACAGAAAGTTTTATATCACTTCCAAAATTTGCTCTTTTGGCAACTCTGAATCTTCTTTAACCGGACAGTTACAATATTATATTCAAAGATGTCATTTTTTCTAGGATATAAATTATATACGAAGAATATGATCATAGCCACGTTTAAACTAATCCAAGGTGACAGTAACGGGTAACAAGAGCTCAGCTATTTTTAATGAAATACCATCAAAACTCGTAAGTCATCTCATTTTAATGTCAAGAAAAACAGTAGGCAGAGAGAGACATCCTTTTCCTAGATTTACAAAATGAAGGCAATTTCTTAGAGCCCAAAAAAGCCACTAATTAAAGTATTTTTCTAGAATAGGTAACCAACTCCCTTGAGGTACTGCAACGTGGGACTGCAGTGTGGTAAGTTTATCAGTTTAGAGCAGCAGGAGAGGGGAATTGGAAAGGCGGTACCCCCCCGGGACAGAACGGTGGAGGGCTCGCCACTAACAACGCTTATCGTTTGAGCACAGATGGAAAAAAACATTTGTCAACCAACAGAAAACAGGTGAATAGAAGTAAACATCTGGGAGTGAGGGCTTCGTCGTGCTCCATGAACCTGTAAGACAGATCACTTAAAAAGAAATTTTAAAGAGTAAATAAATATAATAAGGATTTTATTTTATAAACATTTATTTGCTAAAAATGTCTTTAATGAAGGCATTGTTTACAAATTTTATTAGCAAAACTTTTAGTGGAGGCTGCTTAAATTGTGGGCTTTTAATCTCCTGACACCACTCTTACTCTCGTTACTACAATCCTGCTTTTGAAGGTCCTTTATACATTGCATGTATGAGGAGAGCATCGTAGGTTTTACCCCACCCTAAATTAGGGTGCTCATCGTCCCTGACAACCTGTGAAGCACAGAAGGGATGCTCAGAGGAGCATGGCTGGGCGATGCTAGCAGAGGAGGCGGCTCAGGCTTCCACTGGGGCAGGACACAACTCTCCAAGGGCTTTCTCTGGTTAATTATTGTTATTGTTAACAATTTACTTCTAATCTGAATTTATCTAATTTCAGCTTTCAGTCATGAAAGCTTGTTATCCCTCCACATACTGAATTAAAATCAACTCCAAGTCTAGTAATTTTATCATCATTGGAAGCAAAAGGTCTCGCAAAAGGTAAAAAAAAAAATTTTACATGCATCTCAATCTTTTGATATGCATAAGAATATACACTACATTTCTTTTAAAATCTGCATCTTCATTTTTTAAGCTACCTCATCAGCACTGAAGCCCAGCAGCAGGAAATTGATATACCACAGCCAAAGCAGAATTAAGACTAAACAAACCTCTAATTTACAAGTGTGCTAATGGAAAGAAAAACTCAGGATGGTTTAGAAGAAAAGCACAGTGTTAGAGGGTATCACTCATCATAATACACAGAATTCCCTCCTCCCAGAACATAGAAAGTGGCTACACGAGTATGAAACAGCAGGGTTACTAATAACTTTGGGAATTTAGTGGGGGGATAGGAAATTAGGTAATCAACCCTGATATATGAAAAAATATATCATTGTGTTGGTTTTGCGTGGCAAGGTT